GGAAGGAGGAAGGAAGGAAGGAAAGAAGGAAGGGAGGGAGGAAGGGAGGGAGGGAGGGAGGGAGCAAGCAAACAAATGAATGATGAAAATTGTGTTACTCACTGAAATAACTCTTGTTTTTTGCCCATTTGGTTGGATCATYTTGTGTGTTTCTTCCAGGGAAGTGTGGAATGTCTCGTTTAGACAAGAAGTCTTCAATAATACAAAGAGTGGATAAACTTTGACTGAAACAGATAGCATGAAAGATTAGTCATCCAGGGGTGCAAAATGATACTATTAAGCGCTAATTTATTGTATTGGTTTGAATAGACCCCTTGCATACAAAGGAATTTCAATCTCCTGAGAATTGGAAGCCTATTGTTATGTCCTCCAAATTGAGCTGCATTCCAAAGTGCTGCAAGGGGTCGATCTTCTATGTGACAATTCATATGAATGTTACCTAAAAACAAGCACTTTTTCTCCAAGACTCAAACTCTCCTCAAGGATTTCCATCAAGATGACTATCTTTCCCCCTTGTTCTTCTATGAATGGCTGATAATCTTTCATTATATCTTTAGCCTAAAGGATTGAAAATAATGTATCTTAATGTTTGCCTCAAAGAGAACTCTGCAGAGTTGATGACTGAATTCTTTGTTTGCATGTCATGCCATTATGGCCATGTTTGTGGTAGTTAACAAGAGTCAAGATCAATAATTGCGTGAGTATAATTTCCTTTGAATGTATGAAAATGATGCACAGCTTAATGAAGATGGCCTCTGATTTGCAGGTTCCTCCAGAGGATGCTATAATCATTGTAACATTCTCATGGTTAATTTTAACCATTCTATTACATACCCAAGCAAGACCAACAGGTGTAGGTTTTGTCGTAGAGTAAGGGTCTTGTTGCAGTACTTGTGGAGGTAAGACTGAAAACATCAAAGCAGGATCCATGTTTGAATTAACCTCCTGAGATGTCCCATCCTCTGTGTCATTGTCCAGCAATGTCTACATACAAAAAAAYATCAATAAAGTTTGTTAGTTTATTTGGAGCTTTTTACATATTTCTTTGGTTTGTTTCTGTGACTAGGCTCCACACCTTTAGGTGTCTGCAGATGGTTTTTGACTTCCATTGATTAAACATTCACAAACTCTGCCGTAAATTTGATGGTTGGAATGCAAAACACAAGTTAACCTGCCACATGGAGTTGTGTGTGTTGAAGAAGCATACATGTGTTTGATGATCAGTGTGAGTGTGAAAATATAAATGTCAGACTCCAGTCTAGTAGCCTGCGTGCAGCCACACTTTTCTCTACAGTTAGTTAGTTCGGCTGCACTTAGGCTACAGTCTAGGTGAGAACCAAGAGATTTGGAATTTTGCAGATTGAGGAAATCTGAGGGCAAAGAAAAAAAAATTAAATGAGGAAGATAACCCACAAATAACTCCAGTTGCATATAGTCTCAAGCAAGATTGGGAAGCCTTTAACTACCTCGGGTATACTCTGAACTTATTCGTATTCATGTAAAGAATAAGCTTCCAGGGGAGTTGTTTGAATGAATTAACATCAAAAAACAAAAGCATTGGCCAAAAGTTAGGTTAATAATTTTTTCATGTTGTGTTCAAAATTTCAAAATCTTTATTTATTTAATTCTACATCCCAACGCCATTGAATGGATCCATAAAAAGTCTGGTCACATATGATGGCAAGTCCAGTCACTTAAACCTTGGTCAGAGTGTAGAGAGGTGGCACATTAGGCGGGGAAACCACCCTCTTTTACTTTTTAGTTCCCTCTTATTTTAGTTTCCTACTGCAAGGAAAACGTGCACAGTCCTTACCAATGGTGATTCATTCCTCATTCCATATTTCTTTGGTTCAAGGTTAGCAAAGAACACATCAGGATGATTCCAAATCTATCAAACAAACAAAACAAATATATTAAATATTAAACATCTTTTAATACCTTATCAAGCATTTGTACCTAGTTTCAGAACCATGTAAGAGATTGGAATTGCTGAAGAGTAGAAGAGTCTGTGATGTCATGCTCTAGGTAATTCTTCACGGGGGGGGGGGGGGGGGGGGGGGGCAAATGTGGTGTGAAATCATTGTCCTCCCAATGCTCAAAGGAGAGGTGTGTATACCAGTAATGTGGTAGGAAGCATCAATCATTATTTACTCTGTTTTAGGGGTGGGGTTGAGGATAGGATAGGATAGGATAGGATAGGATAGGATAGGATAGGATAGGATAGGATAGAATAGTTTATTCACACAGCCACATGCTAAATAGGAGATTATACATATATATATTTTTTATTACAAACTTGTTAAAACACAAATGTTCAACTTTCCATTCAGGGAGGTGGGAGATAACATCTTTTAAGGTACCTCTTCCTCAACCCCACATCTCATTTAAGGGTGATGGGGGGAGGGCCTGGGGGCGTCATTTGACCCTACCCCCCTATACATACCTTCCACGTGGATGGGGGTCACTAGTGAGGTACCGATGGTACTATCTTCTGAAAATACAATAACAAGAGCAAGGGAATTCATTTACCTTTGTGCATGTGTGAAATCCTTTGATAGGGTTCAGGTGCCCTACTGAGTCAAGAAGAAACTTGATATAGGAGTTATAGAGCTGTGACTGTATTGGCGACAGTTTGACCAGGATGATGTGCTCTTCCTTGAAAGGCAGACACTTCTTTAGCACCGACTGACTTCTCCTAAAATTGATAAATAATGTAAAGTAATCAGTATGAAAAAAATTGATTGCCAATCGAGTTCCTTTAATTTGAATTTAAAGAGTTGGATGTGAAGCTCTGAACATTTATACAGTGGAACCCCAATCTAAGGACACCCGCTTAATAAGGACACCCCGCTATTAAGGACAGGTTTCAAAGTCCCAACGAAAGCTCCATACATTTTCTGTTAAATTAACCCGCTTTATAAGGACACCCGTTAATAAGTACAAAGGACACATTTCTAGGACCTGAATAACAGTTTCCATACAAAATCAACCCCGCATTAAGGACACTTGAAATTTGAAGACGTCTTTACTTTATTTGTTTATTGATATAATGAGCTTAATACGGATTATATTGTCAGTTTTTTCATATCAACGGACCACACACTGATCATTGCAGTATAGTTTCCTATTACAGCATAATGAAATAGACAAAGCTCGCAATACCATTGCACTGTTATTTTCCAGAAATCAACTTAAAATRAAATTGTACAATGCAGTGCAGTAAATGCGAATGTAGTTCTTGTACGGTCATGCACTTTTTGTTCCAGTTTAGGCTGTTATACTGAACATTGTAGTTCAAGCTTTACAGTACAGTAAAAATAAATGGTCAAAAATGTGTTTTCAGCTGTTTTTCTGACACCTCGGTTAATAGGGACACCCCGTTAATAAGGACAGTTTTGTCCGTCCCAACGGTGTCCTTATTAACGGGGTTCCACTGTATTTATTTTATATTTATCCAATTTCATCACTTTGAGGTGGACTGAAAGCCTTACAGGTCTAAGACCCATTTCCATATTAACTTAAGGACAAGCTGGTTGAAAAAAACATGAAATACACCATGACTTTAGTCGACTGCATGTTTACCAATAAGCAATGCAATCAGATAATACTAATATTCTGGGCCGGGTTGTTCAAAGCTGGATTAGCGCTAGTCCAGGATTAACTCTATAGGTCTTATTAGAGTTAACCTAGGATAAGCACTAATCGGGCTTTGAACAACTGGGCCCTGACTAGCAATTAATATCATATAATTGTACCTTTGAACAAATCCTTCCAAGAGGCTGTGAAGTACATGAGCTCTGTATCTCATTAATCTGACATCCTGATAAAAATAACAAACGTAAAGAACAAATTATTTCAGACAAATGGCCAGTGGTAGTCCTTGTGAAGTAATTGTAAAATATATATTTTCTTACCGATGGTGTACTGTCAGAACACTGTCCATTTAAAATAGGTCTCTCAAACATGTTTGAAAACTCCTGTCTTGTGCCAAGAAAATTTGGCCGGACAAAATCCACCATGCACCAGTATTCTATCAAGTTATTTTGAAGTGGGTAGCCAGTAAGGACTACTCGCCGCCTGCACACAAAAAAGGAAAATTTTGTTGGAAACTTTTGACATGTGGAAGAGAAGTTTCACATGAGTTGGAAATAAATTATAAAGTAAGTTGATATTTCTTATGTAGCTGTGCATCACATATCAGGGATACAACTAATGGGTATATTATTAAAAAAGTCTGGCCAAATTTGACACTTGTCCAGGAAAATGCCTTTTGTTGGTCAGGATGAAGCGTTCAGTCATGATGTAAAGCCCTTATTTTTAGCCCTTGATTTCCCTAAAAATGGGGGGCCTGTCTGGTGCTCATGCCTTCCCTTTCCTGACGTCCTGTCCAGGAATTGTTTGAAATGGTTCATGCTATAGGACAATGAGGTTTTAATGAAGATGACAATGATTAGGATGATGATGATGATGAGAATGAGGAAGTGATGGTAATCAGGGTTTTCAATAAAATTTTTGGTAGGCGGTTATGAAATTAAAATAGGCGGCAAACCGGAAATCACTGGAGCATGTAATTGAGGCATACTTGTCACTAGTCTCACTCTTCTCACAAAAATTCAAGATGGCAGACAAGTCGTAGTTTCGATTGCATTGCAGTTTTCGTAGTACAGCAACAAAGATTGGGTTAAAATTTATTTTATCGAACTTTAAAGAACTTTAATCAAAATTTACAATTACATTGGGAAGTGGCTAAGTAGGCGGCTGAATTAGCAAGAGTAGACGGCGGAATCTGCCGGTTGCTGGCTTCTATTGAAAACCCTGGGTGATGGCAATGATGGTGATAAAAATGTTGATGGTGGTGGTGGTGGTAGTGTTTGTGGTTGTGATGATGATGATGATAACGTTTACAATAGTGATGGTGACAACAGTGATGATGGTGATAAAGATGATAAAAAGAATAAGGATTCAGTTTTAATAATAATAATAATAATAAAATAATAATAATAATAATAACAACAACAACAAAACCTCTTTAACGTACCTGGTCTTGACTTTCTTTAGAGCCTGTGAAATATTACTTTGGTTATTCTTGATGCGGTGCCCTTCATCACAGATCACCAAATCAGGTCCAGGTTTGCACAAAGCATTTTGTATACCTTGAGAACAATGCAACACTTACATGTTAGTCAGAAACAATTTTATGGTAAAAAAGATTTGTCAGAAAAGCCAAGGGTAGAGGAGGCTGCTAAGTTAACAAAGTTGAAAACTATTTGATGACATTTCGTAACATTTAGTTTTTTGCTAGTTTTTTTGGGCTCGTCTTTTGTTCACACAAAAAAACTTGTAATTTATTGGATGTACACACACATTTTCTGAAGGGTTATTCACGAGTGACCTACATGCATTAAAATTTGATGGCTAAAAAGTATTCTATAAATCCTCCCACAAGATGTGGTTGTTGGCTCAAAAGTTCTTGACTACTTCAACAACCACACACACATTATTTATTTTTTCCATATTTTTTCCTTGTTAAATATATTTTCTAAACTAGTATTGTAAACAAAAAATTGTAAATATTGTGTGTGAATAAAAAGTGATTGATTGATTGAGATGAAAAAAGTGGCACACTTCTTATGTGCATGATATCAAGCTTGATATCCCCTTTGTCGGTTTACTCTTTCCTACCTATCAAGAAGTCCATGTTCTTCTCCTCCTCTTCCAAGTCAATCACTTCAGGTTCTTGATTCCCTCCTGAAGATGAAGTATTGGACTTCTTTCTCTTTGGTGGTGCACATTTATTACTCGCCATACAGGGTGTGGACATGGCCAATATTCTATACAACTCATAGCCAATTAACAACACCCCACCATTTTGATTCCACTCGCCTATTATCTTGGCTCTTGCTATTGTAGTTTTATTGTTGTCGGCAAGTTGATACACAGTGAAATTACGATATCTTATTTCATTCGTGCTGTCCTCAGATTCTGAGTTTTTGTTCTCTTGGTCAACAATTTCAGGTTTTGGGGGAAGCCACATGTTAAACTCAACCAACCAGTTCTGGATTGTGTTTATTGGCACTACACATAATACTTTCTTTGCTGGAGTATGCTGTAAGAAAATGTCTACAAATGCTATGACTTGAAGTGTTTTACCAAGGCCCATTGAGTGTGCAAGGATGCATCCAAAGCCTGAACTAACTTTATATCGTGCAAGGGTCTCCACTAAATTATCATACAGAAATCTTATTCCTCCTATCTGTGGAAAACCAATGAGAATAGATTCAGATGTACGGTATTAAATATATTAGGGTTGAGGTCATAATGTTATATAAAGTGGAATACCTACATGTATAATCACAAAAGCAATGGACCCTTCTCAGAATATTATTGTGGATGTGAGGCTTACATAAAAACACAAAAGAAATTTGACTTTCTTCAAAGGAATTTGTGGTATTCTAATGCGTTTACCACTCCTGGGTGGACGGCTTGGTACCTAACAGGCCTTACAGCCCAATTGATAAGGCAGCCGGTTAGCACTGAAGATGGTCATCACCAGCATCTTCAGTTACATAGTGAAGACAGATGGGGCCTACAGTTCTAAGTCTTTGTCCAAGAAGACTTGAAGGTCTAACCATTTGCAGATATAATTACAAAGGCAGCACCTTCTCCTCAGTTATTTTAAGACCCTGAGTGTTGTTTCTGCCGAGGATTGAACCACAACCTTCCGCACAACAGACCGACGCTCTTACCAACTGAGCTAACCAGGTGGCAGTATTCCTTTTGTATTTCTGTGTTAGCCTTGATTTCAAGATAAATTTGAGAAGGGTCCATTGAGGGACATTAATAGGAATAATAAACATGGTGCATTCAGCCTAACTTTGGTACAAACATACTGTTCATATGCAAAGGTTGAATATTTTCAAGAACTGTCTTGTCAACTCTATGGATATTAATCTATGAGTTCAATAGACAAGATACATTGTGGTCTAGCTGGGTACGAACAACACTATACATGGTATCATGATAAACAACTTGTGGTAGAGCCCCAGAAATTTCTAGAAAATTCCATTGCAAGGCAAAATTTGACTGGACAAGTTCCAACACTCCTTTTTACAGTTCCGTTCAGTGACCACAAATAATAGTCAAGGCTGGAGTTGCCGCACATAGCAAAACTATACTTTATATCATGTGTGGCAAATCCAGCCTCGGCTTGGAACTATTATTCATGGAATGGAACTGTAAAATGGAACTGTAAAATGGAGTATTCTGGCTAGACATTATTTTTTAGTCTTTATAGGTTTTGTATGTTCTATCCTATATTTTAAAAAAATCTAATTGCAATCTGTGGGAAATGGAATTTTCTACAGAACAATACAAACCTGATGAGGCTTGACGTGCTTCGCAATCTGTGGTGCTAAATAAATGTCATCTTCATAAAGAGGGTGGTTAATATTGACTTCCACATTGCCGTCAGAATTTGGCACATTATAGGTGTCATCTGAATGCATGCCAACATTATTCTCATCAATATCGCTATTATCTGTATCACTTTCTGATGACGAGCTAACAGAATCAGAACTGATAATTTCAATTTCTTGCTGTTTTTGAACACCACCTGAGTTATCGTCATCACTGTCAATTACAATGACATGGGAGTGTTGTTTGGATTTTTGACGAAAGTCAACCACCATTGGAGAAATTGATCTTGAAGGCTCATTTGCATTTTCAGTGGACACCAAGTTGTCCTGTGCATCTTTAGTTAAAGCAGGACTCATTTCAGTAGCCAGACTTTTTTGCAATTCAAGTCTCCTTAATCTCTCCTTTTCTTCCAATTGTGCATGGAGGGTTTCTTTCTCCAACTGTGATTCGTCCAAAATTTTTCGAATATCCCTTCTCTTTGTGTTGTCCTTTCTTTTCCTCTTTCTTTTCTTCCCACTGATATTTTTCACCATTTTTTTGCCTTTACTACTGGTTGTTGCTTCAGTAGTTTCTACATCAATGTTTTCATTTTCTGCGCATTCTTCTTCCTCGATTTCATCGTCTCCTTCAACACTCTCCAAGTCTTCATTCAAATCGTCATCAATTTCAACGTCTGAATCCCCCACGCTGTCCTCGTCCTGCTCATTGGACTTGGAGTCAATCCCATCGTCTTCTCTGCTTTTCAACAGTAATTCCTCAATGCTTTTGCCTTCAACGGTGTCGCTGCTTCCTTCCATCGTAGTTTCAAATCACTAAATCATATAACAATCGCCAAAAAACTATACAATTTACGAAAATTTTAAGTCATGCATTTTTTAAATGCTACCATTGATCAGTGTTCGTTCAGTTGATGGAAGCTTTGCATCTATTATTTCTCTCGGTCTCGTTGGATCYAGTCGTACTACTAAAGAGCCTTCATAATATTCCTATTATCACACACCAGCTGATCATTAGAACTGAGAATTCTTTGAATAAAAATAAAAACAATAAATTTCATTTCTTGGCGTTTTTTCGAACACGAGATGAAGCTGTGTAACCAGGTATTGGCGGGAAGGCTTGGATACTAAGCTTTTGCCCAAAAAATACTAGTGCCAGTTTTTCTCGGATAAGAAGATCGAGTCAAACCAAGATGGCGGATGAGTCTGCAGAAAAAGTTTCAGCCGAAAAACAGTCTTGTACCTTCTTCAAGAAGTCCAAAGGAAGAAGAAATGTACGGAAAAGGCAAGCAGAGGATAGTGGTAGTGACGATGGGGAAGCCTCAGTCGTCGTTCGAAAGGAGAAGAAGATGGCAGGACCGAATCCAATGATGCAAAAATCTGAAGGGCTGAAAGAGAAGAGAAGGGAAGAGGATGTAAAAGTTGAATTTAAGTCTACACGGTCTGCTATGAGTTCTGGACCAACAGATCTTGGAGCAACGGCTACGTATGAATTGGACACGGATTTTGATCGAGATGCGCAGGCTGTGTACGCGAAGGCCTTGGAAGTGAATAAAGAGATCAAAGAATCTGGAGACGACAAACTTTATCGAGGTGTGAATAACTATATGCAGTATTATGAGAAGAAAGACACGGTATTTGGGAATGCTGCGAGTGGTATGGTCAGGTGAGAAATAGAATAACCGTAATAGGCAATATGTCAAGTTGGTCTCCCTGTGTCCTCCACAGGGAACCCAAACTTGGATATTTCTTAATTAATCAGGAATGGTTCCAAATTGATTTTGAATGCATAAATAGGTGTATATGGTCATCAGCCCTTGCTTGCCTCCTAGCCACTCTGGAAAAGCTATAGCTAACTTGAACACCTGGCTTGAGAAAGGCCTTGGGGGAAGGGGGTTTCCAGGAGCTACAGTAGTCCCCTTCGCAGCAGTCATTACTGTGGGATACTCCAACCGGGACCACTATGATAAATTAGTATCATTAACCAATCATATTGCAACATTTAGTTCAATGTTTCTTACCGGCCTATTCGATAGCTCATCGATATAATAAGAGCATGAAAACGTGATAATGTGATTGGCTAACACTGTTATCAGTTCAATTTCTGTCTATTTTACCATTATCCGATTAGCCAGTTATATTCAAGAGGCCCCGGTTAGTGTGTCCACACAGTAATATTGGTCCCAGATCCTCTAGTGGGGGGATAGCTCAGGAGGATCTGGTAACAAAAATATTGACAGCTGCAAAGAATACCATCAAGGAGCCCGAATAAAGAACTTCTTCCGCAGCCAACAGCATGGATGTTTTAAGGGTTTATAAAAAAAGTAGAGAGTATTTTTACAAATTTCTCGTCTTTATTCTTTTAAAGGCAAGGTCCAATAAGGGCACCCAAGAACCTAAGAGCAACAGTACGGTGGGACTATCAACCTGACATCTGCAAAGATTACAAAGAAACAGGTTTCTGTGGTTTTGGTGACAGCTGTAAATTTCTGCACGACCGCAGTGACTACAAGCATGGATGGCAGCTGGACCGAGAGTGGGAAGAGGGAAACTTTGATAAAGAAGACCCCCATAAGTATGAAATACACAGCGATGAAGAGGAAGACGATGTGCCCTTTGCTTGTATCATGTGTAGGAATACCTTCGTTAATCCTGTCGTAACAAAGTGTAATCATTATTTTTGTGAAAAATGTGCACTCCAGAGGTACAAGAAGAACTCCAAATGCTTCGTGTGTAATACTCAGACATATGGTGTGTTTAATCCTGCAAAAGAGATTATTAAGAAAATGAAAGAAAGAGAAGCAGCTTTGGGAAGTGAAGAGCCAAATAATGAGCAAGAGCCACCAGAGGAAAACTGAAATAAATGGGGGAAAAAAATGAAATACTGAGACAAATGGCTGGCAGCCATTAACTGTATGGACTAAATCCACTTGGGCGTAATGTTTTGCCCATTTCAGACCACCTGTTATTGTCTTGAGAATAAGATTCTTTGTTTGAGTTGTGTCTATGTTCATGTGTCTTTTCATGTGCAACTGTTAAACAAAGAAATAATACTCTAGGGAATGACACATGGTCTGAAATGAAACATTGGATTAGGTCTATTCTGTTCTTGCATGTGTATTAAAACTTTCCGTGACAAGCACTATCACGATCATAGCTAACGTTAGTTTGCCTATGTACAGCTGCTTCCCTCCCCCCCCCCCCCCAGGGAAAAAGCAGGGGGAAACATTTCCCCCGATAGGGGTGAGGGGTGGGAAGCGGCTGCACACAGGCTAATGCTTGTATGTATATAAATGACAATGTATGTATAGGAAATAAAGGCAAAAATATTTGTAACATCTAACAAGGATGTCAATTGATTTTTATCAAATCTATGCATTTAATCTGCAATCCTTACGTTCAATATCATGTCAAAACGCCAAAGCCTCAAAGATACTACTGTTAATAAAACTCTAAAGGGTTCAGAACTCATTTTCAACAGGCTTTTAGAATATTGGCTTGTAGTATTTTTTCTTGCTATTTTCTTATCCTTTACATTGCAACTACACCAACCAAAGCCACCCAGACAATTTTTTATACAAATTAGCCAATCACGATTGAGTATCTTAACAATAGAATCTGCACAAATGTTCTCATTTTCAATTTAAATGCATAAATTGTGCTTTAATATTCCTGGTGTTTGTATGATAAGGAGTGAACAATAAAAAGTTTAAACTCCAGAATTAGTCACCATCCTGTTATATTCAGTGTCAAAAGTGTGATTTGTGGATTTGATTTAAAATTTGTTTGTGTGGCCTAAAAGAAGATATCGAGGTATGATCGATCATATCCAGCAAATGTAATAGAAACTTCAGGTATCAAGCACTTTGGATTCCTCTTGTCGTTTCAAATAAACGTACCTTTTTACTGATATGACGGTTATCTTAAATTATGGGATGCATAGGAAGCAAACCTATAGAAAATCATAAAGCATAGAGTGGCGGGAGTAACTTGAAGTCTTTGTGTTTCAAACATGTTCTATTCCAACCACCAGCAAAATTCAATTGCTATTTAGATTTTTGTAAAGGTCTATTGACATTATCTTCTTAAAAGTTAATTCGTTAGGGAGATTGATTTTTTTTGCTTTTGGTTAATTAAAAAATAACCGGAGACCATACTCCCAGACCCGAATGCTGAAGCGTTGTATGGTAGCGCGAAGCATTTACGGCTACGCCAGAGATTTCGACCCCGACACCGCTATCCCGGGAGGAATTACAGACTGATCAGGAAGCTCGGCAAAAGCCTAAGGGAGAGGTTAGTCGGCCCCTAGACCATAGATGATTAACCCCTTGCTATGACCAGCATACCCAAAGTATCAAATTTGTCACTGACGGCTAAGTATTCATGGTCATTCTTTTCCATGTGGGATGCGTTTTGAAAAAACTATAGCGGTGGCGAAGATATATATGCACGCAAACTTGAAAATCGGAATTGGTCTTATTTTTAAATTCAGTAGTGAAACTGCAGGGATTAGGAAATAAAAAGGAAAAACTGGAATAAACTACCAAGATAGTGTGCAAATAAACGCGCACTCATAGAAAGCGCATGTCAGTTTAGTATACTTATAAGATTAAATATGGCGACCATTTTGCACTATAGCTATTGTTTTGTACTGACTAGCCTCGTGTTGATGTGCATGGAAACATAAAAGCGGTTACACATGCACGTGAGGCTAGTTATTCCAGAACAATACATATTGCGATTCGGTGTGGATATGTGGATCGAGTTTCAGACGCCTCTTTCATTATATTTTCTCGCTTGATACAAAAGTAGAGCTTTGGCTACCTGTGCCAATAGTTACAATACATCGCAGTCCAAACTTATCACTCGTATCAATTCAAAAATATCAAACTCCATAATTACTTTTCAAATCATTCAACTCTTCCTCGACACCATGCACCATGCTCCTAATGTCTTTGAAATCTTCATAAGTCTTGAACACCGATGCTTTGAGCTTGCTCAACTCGGCTTCAAACCAATCAAAGTCAAATTGCCTAACACTACTACTACTACTGTTGTGCCTTGAGTTAATTATAGTTGTATCACGAAGTGAAGTCTGAGATTTATTAGTTAGTAAATTATTATCGGTTGTGGAAGCTATATTTGTTTTCAAACTAGAGGTTGTTTCCTTCGTTTTCTTGGAAACGTTCCTAAGCATTTGACCCATATTTGCGTTTGAATTCCGGTTCTTTTGCCAAGGACTTTGTCGCGAAACTTTTTCACTTTCAAGGTCTTCCGTTTCAGATATCTTTTTAAATAACTTGTCATCAATTGATTGAACAGACTTCGCATCGACTATTTGTCCCTCAATTTCGTCAGATCTTAACCTCGCTACAAAAGGTCCCATTCCATCTTTGGAGTTCTCACTTTTTCGTCTAGGAATCTTAGATTTTTGTACAAATTTCGTCTTGGAATCCAATATATTTTCTTTCTGCGTCTCCGTATTGTTCTCTGCTTTTTCTGTATCGAAGTAAAAATGTCCAGGGCTACTCTGAGGAGGTTTCTCTTGAGTGTCTGACGTTTTTCTTCTTGAAAAAGGAATAGGAATATTACTAGAAACTTGCAAATGATCATCATAATATTTATTTTTGTCAGGAGCTACTGAGAAAGATTCTTTGAGCTCATTGGTAGATTTTTCTTGTGATGTGCTTGCAATTTTTTCCTGGTTTTGATTGTCGCGTGTTTTTTCCCGCTCTAGACCTCTGTCAACACGTGAGCTTCTTCGCACCTGTCTTGCTCTGGTATTTTTTCTGATCTTCTCACGAAGAAGCATTACAGATTCACTAGGGGAGACCTCTTCAACCTTCTTACTTGGAGCCCTATCAGACTGTTTTCCATAGGACGAAARAAATTCTCCCGATGACGTTGTTACCTCATTTGCGGCGACATTTGATCCAGTATATGAATTAAGTTCTTCACTAGATGTCGATGCTCTAATTGTCTCGTTTTGTTTTGCATTTCTCGTTCCTAAAACCCAAGATTCATTTTTTTCGCTCTCGCCTTGATTTTCCATTTTTGTGTTATACAATCTTTTTCCAGATTTCTTTTCTGTTATTTCTCTTATCCTTGAAATATCCTGAATTGATTTCGTCTTTCTCGAAGCTCTTTCTTCTTCATTTAGAAATTCGTTTATGTTTTCAGCTTCTATTGTTTTTCTTATCGTTTTATGTTTCGAATTCTCCCCTTTTGACGCGTCGCGACTTCTCATGTCGTGATGATCAAATGTTTCTAATTTTTCTGCTGCCATTGAATACTGCTCTTTTGACCCCTCTTGAGAAACTGTTTCTTGTCCATCAATGTCATCAAAGCCTTCAAAATCTTCTTCAAGAAACTCGCCACTTTTGTCTGTCGTTTTTCTAGCCATTTTACGAATAATTAAAGAGCTTTTATCTGGGCTCTGCTGTTCCCTTTCCTGAATTGTCCTTGGGAAATTCTTAGATCGAGAGTCTACTGTCTTTCTGACCTGTCTTTTGAAGACTTCCACAACATTCTGAACGTCTTCACCTTCGCTTTGGCTCGTAGTACTTGTAGACGAACTAGTTCTTAAACCAAGAGCAATTGCAAGCTTTTTTCTTAGCAATTTTCCCTCCTTTCCTTCAGTAGTTATGTGTGGCTTCTTGATTCTCGTTTGGCCCTCTGAAGAAGGCTCAGAAACAACATACTTTTGACTCTCTCGAAGACGTTCTATTTCAGAAGTCATTTCTGATAAGCACCACTGAGTTTGAACGCACAAGAATGCTTGCACGAACACTTGATTACATTTTAAAATTCAAATTACTGTTTGACGCTTCCTCTTCCTGCCTCTAATCACAACTGTGCCAAATGGACAATATCTCAGCTGAAATTATGAGTTAGCGTTAAACATCTTGAATTATGTTCTCTGTCAAAGATGTCTATAGGAGTCGCTCGTATTTCATTTGCCTTGGCTAGCTAAAAAACAAGAGTAATAATAATCAATGACCAATTTAGAAAAGAAATAAAAATAGCGCCATCATCATTGACTGAAGAAAATTGAGTGTCAGTCTGACTTACTTAGCTTAATGATTTCCACAAATGCTGGTTCACTTGGCGCTGTAGGAAGTCCACTCGTCTGACGGAGGCTGTGCTGTTTTTGTTTTGGTACGGAAGTAATCTTTTTGTGTTTATACTTGCTGCGTCAAGATTTTTGCGCACTTAAAATTAAAAACATTAGCTTAAAAATTGACCTACTGGAGTGAGGATCTTCGACGACTGTCTGAAGACCGTACATTTGGCAAGAATGAAACATGAGATGCGCACAAAGGGGGTTGTCGTGCATTTAATATGGCATGGCATTTTTTGAATTTTTTTTGGGGGG